GAGTGCACTATCTGAGCTGCCGCTTGAGCAGAGTCTTATTAAGGGCCTCAAGATTACTATCCACGTCAGTGCCCCATAGGTCCAAATACGCTGCCTTTAAAAGCAAAAGTGCCCCCAATGCTAGTCTCGCTAGGCTCATGGTCCAAGACAAGGATGGGCATGTGGACATACAACAGATGATTTGACAAAACAAATGAAAAACATAACGGCAGAATCTTAGCGATAAGAAGAAAAGATCTTGTGTGGTATTGTACAGGCTTCTACAAATAACACTTGGGAGAATATACGCACAGCTTCACTCTTGCAGGATTACTTCCGATGTTCTACTCCTACGCGACGAGTAAGGAGAAATGGGTTTTTCCAGCAAAAAACTCTTGGTTCATGATGTGATGGAAAAACAAATTTTGAACTAACTGGAAGAAAACGATGCTATCCTAGCTAGCTACATGCTACAGCTCCATCTGCCGTTACGTTATCGAACAAGAAATTCAAAATAAAACATACAAGAAAACAATTTTACTGTTGATGGAATCCTAGACCAAGACCTCGTCCCATATGTGTCGTTTCACGAGCTATCTCATATTGCCGGTCCAAGTCACGCATCATTTTCTTCTGCTTCTCGCTTTCTTCTTGGAGTCGTTTGCTGTCGGTCTGTGACAGAAAAACAATCAAATTCAAACAGGGAAAACAGAAGAAATTTCATAGGTGATAAATTACGCACAATCTTACCCTGCGAATCAGTCATAAACTAATTTAAGTAAAGTCGCCTAATTCATGAAATAGCTTCAAAAAAGTCTAGATTACCAATTTTTGCGACTAGATTACGAGTTCTTACGACGCAATGATGTATAAATGAAGTGAAGGCTACCAACATGACACTGCATAGAGACAAATGCATTTGTTGATGATAAAAGTAAGAAATGAAAATCGAAATAATGAGCTGTAAAATACCAACTTCAGATGAGCTCACCGTACTCGGGTCTACGGGTGGAGCATGTTTTATGCCCATAAGCTTCAAGAACTTGTTCGCTTGTTCACCAGCGACTCCACTAGCCGTGATAGCACTTGACCACAATCCAGCATTCTTATCTACAACTTCATCGTGCGCTTCAGCGCCTGCACCACTAGTCTAGAAATGCGAAGCTATTACAGAGTTCACAGAATCACTAAGAAGATGAAGACTAACCTCTCCACTGGCAGCTGGCGCTGGTTTCGATCCCCATAACAGCTTCTTCTGCTTTGCCACTTCTTCAGCACTGGGTCTCACATCCCACGTAGAGCGATCATCTCTTCACAAGAGTAACTTACAACAAATCTCTATGCAATAAAAATAATCAAACCTATCTCTCCTATCATCCCTTCTCCTGCCCCCACGATCTCTATCACCTCCTCTATCTGGTCCACCGCGTCTGGGTCCACCACCACCGCGATAGTCTCTTCTTGGACCACCGTAATCTCGTCTGTCGTCTTTCTAAAATCCGACACTCGACGCCGTGCGGACTGATCCGTCGTCGCTGCACCATCCACCGCTGGTGCAACTGAGACCAAACCACAACATTATTTTCTAGAAGTGTACCGCCTGCGCCGCAAGCAATTTTTTGGGGCACTAAGCGCAATGTGGCACAATAGGCTCTGTTTTTTCGCTGATTTGGATTGATTTTAAAGTAATACGTGGAAAATTGCAAAACATCAGCGCATACCATTCATTCCCAAAATCACACCAAACAAAATCGATATCGGAGCGTGCGACACAACAGCAACAATTCTCCTAGCAGAATACGAGCTATTAAAACTTCTATAACCTCAAAGCGGGGTTTCGTACTGCAAAATCTAAAACCTCGCGAAAGAGCCGGCTGTTCAATAGCAATCTCAAAGAAACATCACTGCCAGCTGGCCGCTCCAATCAACTCTGCTTAGCATGACTACGAGAATACACGGTACTCGCTGGAAGCAAGTCTTCGTAGGCGACTCATGGGGTCAATCCAAAATTGGCAAAAAAAAAAGAAAAAAAGAAATTCAAATCTAGAAAAACAGATACCCTCTGGAATCTATCTCGGTCATCTCGATCGTTACTTCTGAAGTCATCTCGACGTCTGTCGTCATGTCGGCCTCCGCGATTGTCTCTATCGCGACCACGTGGCCTGTCACCGAAATCGTCTCTGCGTGGCCTGAAGATAAAATTGTCAGCAGATTGAACGCTGTTGAGATTAGCGGCGGTTTCAGCAACACTTAGATACATGATAAAAGCGATCCCCGCAGGTATTCTAGAAGGCGATAACGGTAGAACTACTTTTGGTTACGGTTCGAACGCGATAGCCTGATAGCATTCTTAAAGGCATTGTCCAGGTCCA